GGGGATTAAGTATTAATTTGATTTCTGTTATTTTAACACTAATTCGAACTTGTTTTGTTTTTTTGGTTTTTATTTTTTTTTATTTTTTATTTTAATTTTTTTTTAATTTTTTATATATTTTTTTAATTTTAAAAAAAAAAAAAAAAATTGAAATTGACAAAATTATATAAGGCCCTTCTAATACAAAAATTGAGTCCCGTTTCCTACTCTTCTCCTTGCCTCCGTCTCTCCTGCTCTCCTCATTGGCTCCTCCGTCTTCTCCTGGCAACAGGATCAGCGCCACCAGCAGGGGCAGCAACTGCTACTGCAGCACTACCACCAGCAGCTCCAACTTTCGTGACAAGGTACTCAATGTCCGGTTGTTGGTGGAGCGTAGAAAAAAGGATTGGCCAATATGATTCGAGCTAAATTGACGAAGACCCATATATGTATGTTGTCCTTCATAATGAGGAGGAGGTAATGGTGGTGGTGCACGACCGTGAATCTCAATGTCGGCGTCGAAATTTGGGATGAACTGTGTGTGGTTCGCTGCATTCGAACTGGTATGGAATTGAACCTGATTTAAATCGTTTCTTAATGATATGGGACCATGAAACTGCTCTCCGTGATGAATATTAGGGCTTGTAATGGAGTATGGTCGTCGGTGTTGGAGGGTTGACCGGAATTGGAATTGAAACCGTGCGTGAATGCTTGATTTTGAGCCCGAATTTCGTCTGATTTTGGAGGTTTTATGTCTGATTTTTGGTATGGAATTGAAGAGTGGGATGATGGCATGTTGACGTTGTGGAAATCCGATGGTTTGTCTGGCGACATACTAGATGAATTTGGAGTAGAAGGTGCCAGTGTAGTGGATGAATTTGGTTGCAATTCCTACTTGCCAAGAAAACAAAAACCCTGCTGAATCATGGGAAAACCAATTCTAGTATTTTGAGGAAAAGAGGGTCACGTGCTGGTAAAATGGAAAATGTTTTGCTTGGAAAATATATCCTATCAAACAACCAAAAAGTTGGAAAATGGTGGGAAGTTTTCCATCTTGCCTGGAATTTAAGGCCTATCAAACATGGCCTTATTATTCTGACTCATCCCTTGTTTAGTCCCTATTCTTTCTAAAATACACTTTTCTCTCTTATTTTCAATTGCAGATCCTTCAATAAAATAATATTATACGCAAACTCAAAACTTTCTTTATTTTTTAACCACACATTCTCGAACAAAATATTATTTCAAAATGCATTTTGAGCAAAAAATGGGGCTTAAAGAGACTCTTAACCTATAAGACTCGCCTACAGTTGAGGCAAATCCACCCAAAGGTCATGGGCAGGTCCTTGTACAATGCTCAAGGCTCTCGGCTGATGTAATTGAAAGTGAACCTCCATAACTGGAGTATAGGCGGGTTGAGAAGTTGGAAAATTGAGCGAACCAATTGTGTTCACGGGATATAGCAGTATTCATTAGTTGGCTTGTAGAAAGCTTCAATTACTTGTAAATGCTTCTTGGAGTTAGGATGAAGAGAAAAAATGGAATTCGATTATCCAAGACTAGCTTTGGGAAAAAAATTATCAAGTTTACATTATATGCTATCAGTGTTTTTATTGTAATTTTCTTGTTTCTCCTAGTTGGGTATCTTTAGGAGTTCAACTCTAGTGTAGTTTCTAATTGTAGAGTTGTTAACTGGTAGTAATTTACTATACTAGAGTAGATCTTTTGGGTTGTAGTTAAGCATATTATCACTTTATAAAGTCACTATGAACATGCAGTTTAGAACTGATATGGTTATACCTACTGGGCCATGTTTTAGGATATCATAGGATTGTCTTTGCGGGGTCTTAGCATCTCTCAATTGGGGTTACCTCAACTGCCTTGAGACTTATACCTTGAGCCATGCTCCTTAGTAAGTCGAGGTGTGAGCCTTGACTACTTACAGCCACGGTGCACGTTTTGAAGCAATTAATGAGGGCCCGACAAGTCTCAAGGTGTAAGTCTTGGGCACTTTTTAAAACTGTGCATAAAACCTAATTGTTGTATCAGTAATATCTTAGCCATCTCATCTAGTCCCCTGGGGTTTTTTTAAATAATATTTCCCATGTCTTTAAGCTTACAATATTTTTTTGTGGCATACGAGATCATATATTGTTTACAGTTCCTTCACCACGCAAAATCTGAAGTGGAATCCGTGGAGCTCCATTTTTACAACTCCCAGACACTTGTTTTCAAATTTTCATTTCCCCAATCACTGCCCTTCCATAGCCCCTCAATGCCAAATCTTGAGCTGTTCTGTATTAATTTGTTTTGAGTTAAAGAATTCGGGTGCATGAATAGTAGACAATAAGATCATGGTAAATGTGAGACCAGAAACTCAACCCTGTTGAAAAATAGATTTTGTAATAGTGATTTCTTATTTTATTTTATTTATTTATATATATTTTTTGAGAATGTGTGGATAAAAATTAGGAAATTTTTTTAGGTTTACGTGTAAAATTATTTAAATGGGAAAATATGTGGTTGGAAATAAGTTTGGAGAAAAATGAGTTTTGAAGTAATGTGGCTCAAATAGGGGCTAAATATAACTGTGAAGGAAGTCAAGCAAATAGTTTGTAGTCAAAATCTTATGATAAGACCGGAATTCTCTTAACCCCAGATGAAAGCATCACTTTATAGGAGTAATAGCCTTCCGAAATCTCAAGAGACTAAAATGAGATCAGGTATATCCAATGGATGTGTAATTACATTATAAATCTTTCTGAGTGATTCCAGAAAATGCTCTGACGATGGAGCTTAAATGGTTAAATGGAGCCTGAACACCATACCATACTACAATAATGGGAGTGTCTCTGAAACATCCTTCCGACACGCCAAATTACTGCTAACGTGATAGACCTCTGAAAAATATTTTTGTGGAAACATAACTAATAGGCATTAAAACAGGCGAGGCTTCCCCAACCAATCCGTTCAGAATACTGCTTGCCATTTTTCTTGCTGATGTTTTCTTAGAATTTGAATTTTCAGATGCATCTAAAGATAATCATACATATTTTCCTCAGATGTATACTAGTTTACTATGCTTAAGAATCTTGCGTAGTTTTATTTTTCTTGAATTATAACAATCAATGCTATGTTATCTAATTGGCATGGTCCATCTCAGCAGATGAAAACCTGGGCAAAAGTGCAGAACATTAACAGTTCAAAAGATAAAACCTTGAATTCTCTCTCAATTATACTGTTGGTTGCTTTTCATTTGCAGGTATGGTTTTGAACATTCGTAGTTTTCATCCATTCCTTCTATTTAACAATTTTTTTAATTATTTGTGCTCCATTATAACTATTTATTTATCTATAAGTCGTATGTTTTTAATTGTTAGATTATGTTGCAATTTTTCTTCCATGCACGACTTTTTTGGAGTCTGGCCTGAAGCTTCTCTGAACTTTGCACGACTTTTTTGGAGTTAAATTCTAAACATCTGTTCACTTTTTTTTTTTTTTTTTTTTTNNTTTTTTTTTTTTTTTTTTTGATTTATAATCAATATACAGCTGGAATAATCTTATTTATATTTTACTGGGTGGTGAATGATATTTAATCTTTCATTAGTCTGGGGACATAATTTCCTGGTCATATCTATGGCATGTTGTACATTGCAGACAAATATGGCATGTCTTTTTAGCAGTGCTGATATGTTCTGAGTTCGTACCAACATTCATTTCTGGACATATTCCATTATTTGGTAATGCAATGTAGCAAAATTGTTTAAATGCAACTTAATAAGCTTAGATGAACTTTGAATCATTCTTGTGGGATTGGGGTGTGAAAGAGAGAGTAAACACTTGTTAAATTAAAAAGAAAATGAATTTGACATCTCGTCTGAAGCTTGTCTGGACTTTGCATGTTACGTTTAGTTAGATTTACACATCTTTCGTTTGATTTAGGATTAATGTGCAATGTAACAATCTTTTTTATGTTTTCATTGGGCAATGAACGGTATTCAATCTTTCATTATTTGGTGTGCATGATTTCTAGTCACATCATGTTGCACTTACTCATTTGAACTTGTAACTATGTCTCTGTTACAGACAAGTATTCGCATGTCACATGAACAAATCACATATTGGTGGTCTGGTTTGTGGTGAATGTGTACCAACATTAGATTTAGGTTTGTTCCATTATTTGCTAACATTCTTGCTGTCAATACACTTCAATTTGATGTCTCTCCAATCTCTTGTTTCTAGCAGACTCGGAAGCCACCTATATTACCTCCATTTTCTGCTATATTCAAAGGTAATACTGTGTATTTTTTAGTTAATTGATTTTGACTACATTCCCTGCATCATTCCATGCTAACATTTTCGACTTTTATTTTCAAATGCAATAATTTTGTGAGCTTGTGTTATAATTTTTTATATCGTTTGACAAAGTCATGTTTAATTTCTTAATTTCATCACATATTAGCTATAATCTATATTGTCTACATCGAATTTTTAATATGGACACATCTAAAGAGTGTTAGAAGTCATGTTTGAGGCATTTCCATTGCCATCACATGTGTCACAATTCAATTGCCTGTCAAGATATCCTTGGAATCTCAGGCAATGACAAAAGCTTATTATTGTCCATTTTTTGTTTGGAAAAAATCGGGCATCTTTACATGATAAACTTGTTAAAAGGGCTATTTGCAGAATAGGAAGATCTATATATTTTACAGAACGGTTATTAAACTTGTAATGCTTTATTGTACTCAGTATTACATTGTTAAATTACAAATGTCTATAAGATGAGTATAGTGAAAAATGAGGATATAAGATGGATGTGTGGTCCTAATATAATGGATAAAATAAGAAACGAGAATATAAGGACCATCTCTATGCTCGCAAAAAGCTTTTCCCTCAAACTCTTCTGATCCGGAAGCATAAATAAGGAGAAGTGCTTTTCAGTGCCTGATTCTACGAAGTGAAAGATCACTTTTCCACGGCGGGAGGGCCCTTGATCTATCAATAGAGGAAGCAAAAAAGGGGCTTTCCTTTGGTTCATGCTCACACGGCCGGTTTCTCTGGCAATCTCGAATTTGAATCTTTGCTGATCAATTAAGAAAGAGACGACTTAATGGCTGGAACACGTCTTTGCGTAAAATTAAAGAGGTTCCTGTTCATAAGATTGATGTAAACATAGTAGAATTGATTAGAAGGGGAGGAAATGGTTTATTGTGGTTGCTAAGTATCTATTTACTTTGGATCTTCGAGTAGTTCTATGCTTTTAGCAATAAACTGAACGGAATGGCAAAAGAGGACTTATGTAGTTTACTCCAAATTCATTGGGAACAAAGCCTAAGTTTTCATTGTTGTTGTGTGTGTTTAAGGAAGGGCTGCAGTTGATTATTTTTTCCTTCTTTTATATTAGGCATGTCTAATGTAGTGATGTATTCTTTCAAGTGAGTTTTCAAGGAACATGAATACAAGTTGATAATCTGATTGTATTAGCAGCAGCTTATTTTGTTTTTTCACTAAAAATCACTCATTTTAAGCTGATACCAAATAGTCCATGTTTCTAGATTTTGTGTTGTCAATATGTTAATGGCATTACCTGACTGTTTTGGTACTACTATGTACAAGAACTGCTGTCCCCTTTCTTTGTCATCATGTGTGTCAGATAAAAAAGGAAAAAAGAGAGGTTCTAGTTCTCTTCGATAGCCTAAACTCTAGAACACTACTTCCTAGAACTGCTGCAGTTCCTCTTCAGTAATTCAATATTATTCGTAGTAGTTGCTGATAAAGGACACCCATGTTCACTTTGCTTCTCGTTCTTCGACTTTTGTTAGACTCAAATGTTGCAGATCTACTATTCGCGAGCTCTTTTTGCTTGATCATCTTTGGGATGTTAAATGGCTTTATGTGCTGTAGATGGTGCTGATCCTGCAACAGTGAAGAAGTCACTACCTAATTTTGTGAACTATGGGAAAAGTAATAAAGAATCATTGGCTGAGCTCTTTGTCACTCTACTGATCAAGGTAGCACTTACACCCTCGGTGATAATTAAGTTATTTATCTTAGTGGTGCTGGTTTCTTAAACAAAATTGACCTTTATTTTATTACCTTTGCAGTTATCTTCTGTCGAAAATCTGTGGCCCAAAGGTCTCTGTGTAAGCACATATGATGGATCTTGGACATCCAAAACATGGAACTCTAAAGTTGCTTGCATCAGTGTAATTACACTTTATTGCTTGAATTTTATGCTCTTGGATAATTTAAATATGTAGTAATTTTTAATCTTCACAGGTTGAGGATTTTAGTGATCCGTCTCAGAATGTTGCTAGGGCAGTAGGACAGGCACAAATAAAACAGATCTACAAATGTATTAACCTGTCTACCCGGTATGTCTTGTCATTCATGGATGGCCAGATTGGAGGAGTTCAATTGAAGGAATTTTTGTTTGGTCGTGATGGCATCACTACCTTATGTCGAATAGGTACTTCAAACTCTCACCAAATTGCATCGTTGCCTAGCATTCCCTCTCCATCGAACCAGAGGAAAAGAAATAGAAACGAGGAAGGTGAGGAAGCAAAAAGGCAAGCTATGCCTCTCGACCCTCCCTCTACAAAGAGAATAGCCTCCATGCAGGGTTGGGCAGGAATATCTTCAGGGAGATGGGGACAAGTCGAGCAAGCTATGTCATTTGAGACTCGTTGGACGAAAAAGACTCAGACTACAGAAGGTTGGAGAGAGATGCGTAGTGATAGTCTGGAAGGTACAAAATACTCTATGCCTACTGATCCCAGAAATGGTCAGCAACTTATGGGAGGTTGGGGTGGAACTCAGCACTCCGTTGCAAGCCTTCAAGGTGGGGTCCATGCCAAAGGCTGGGGTAGAACTCAAGAACCCATTGCAGGAGGTTGGGGTGGAACTCGAGAACCTGATGCACGAGGTTGGGGTAGAACTAGAGAACCCATTGCAGGAAGTCGGGGTGGTGCCCATGCTGAAGGCTGGGGAAGAACTGGGGAACCTGTTGTAGGAGGCCAGGATCGGGTTCGTGCTGAAGGCTGGGGAGAAACTCGGCAATCAATTGTAGGAGGTCGGGATTGGGTGCTTGCTGAAGGCTGGGGAGGAACTCGGCAATCAATTGCAGGAGGTTGGGATTGGGTGCGTGCTGAAGGCTGGGGAGGAACTCAGCAACCCATTGCAGGAGATTGGGGTGGGGTGCATGCCAAAGGCTGGGGCAGAACTCAGCAACCGGTCACAGGAAGTTGGAGTTGGGAGCGTGATGTAGGCTGGGGTGGAACTCAGCAAAACCGATTGCAGAAGGATGGGGTGGAAGTATTTCCTATAATCCCATTCCAACAAGAGGACCGGACTACATGGGCTTTTAAGGGAATGCATGATTGAAATTGTGATCCCAATCCTCATCTTTGCTTCTATTTGTAGTCACCACTCATAGGTATTTAAGTGTATACTGGTTAAATAAAAATGTCATGATGTTGCTCCAAACGTCAAGCCTCCTACATCCTCTTTAAATCTTGCGTGAATATGTGGAAAAACAAGAGTTCGACAGGTGATTAAATGCTTAGAACGTGGCACATGCAAGATATGTGTAGAAATATAGGGTCTTAACCTCATCCTTGTTGGTTTACTATCTTGTTAGGGCCATATTTTCGTTGTTCATCATTCATCATCATCATCTTAATCTTGTATGGCCACTTTGAATGAACTGAACAATCCTTCATCACCTGGAATTAGCCAAGAACGTCTTATGCGCATTGCAAAAGTGTGTTCTTTGTTTTAATTTTAGAGAGATGGAGATACGACCTATCTTTATGAGGTTCATGTAATTAATTTACATGTTGATATTTGGTACATTGTGTTATTTAGTATACTATTTTTGGGGTTTCTACAATCGTAAATGAAGAATGGACGAAAAATTTTGCTACTTTGTTATTATTTGATCTCTTTTGAAAGTTGTGTTAGAATGTCAAAGCATTCATGATAATATATTATTTTGGCTTTCCTGTGTTATAATTTTTGCTAGAAAAAGTACTTTACGTGCATTTTTGAAACGTTAATCTTCCTAATAATTTGGAATAAGTTTTTATTCACATTTTTACGTACGCATGTGCATGTTATATGCTGTGATATACATTTTGTATTTTTTGTTTGTATGTGTAGAACGTCTAGAATTTTTTGAAAAGGTGATTTGATGGAGGTAATATTTGGGTTATGCTTACTATTTATGCGAAATGATATATATTTTTTTTTTTTTAATTTGGAGATGAAAAATGTTTAATTATTTGCAAGCATGGGTCTTATGAAATCTGAATTATTATATTTTACCCCGTCGATGTGGAGAAAAATTATGGGTTTTTATATGACTTTGCCCATTCTTTTGGTAAAAAGATAGTGTCGAATTTAAAGATATTATAGTATATATGTTGTAGAAGTGCATGGTTCTTTTTCATATTGAAGCTAGGGATATCGAATTATCACTCTAAAACCAAGCGGAGTATGTCAATATAAATGGAGTCGACTGGACCGTTGAAGCATGGCAATCTCCAATTTGCTTCGAGACCCTGGTCTGAGAGAAACCCTAGCTAAGTATACCATTCTTACCATGAGTGGTAGTTCTTCTAGGCCACTCTATGTAATCTCAAGAATTTGTCCATGAATCTTAAGATGCACGAAATGGAACACTGTCAAAAAAGTTGTCGATCATGATGTGTATCGAGTAAAATTGTATTTTAACATCCATCGTCTTTAGTGTTTGTTGTAGATCAATCATTGACAACAAATATCGATACAGATTGAAGGTGATTGTATAAAGGCTCAAAAGTAAGTAGAAATAATTTAACTATAATGAACATCTATTTGCACCATGTTTGAAGATTTTTTATTTTTTATTTAAAGGATAAATGAAGTTCTAGAATATATTTTAAAATGAGTATAGTTATGTTCTTGAACTCAAAACAAATGGATTGGTTATTTGTATAAAACTATCGAAGAAATATAACAGTGCTAACTAATCTTATCGAGGAATAATGTTATAGATGAATAGTTAATTATGTATCATCAAGAGCAATAATAACAATACAAAATAGAGGAAATCGAAAGGAAACAAGTACACAAAATTTGGAGTAGTCACTCCAGAGAGTTTTTTCCTCACACGGCACGACTCATTTATTTGGATAACCTTACACTCACCTATATATAAATAAAAAATTGACAACTCAACTTAAACATACGATTGCACATTTTTTTTTAATATGATAAAATAAGCATCTTTATAATAAGATACCTATATATTCTTAGGGATGACAAAAAAATTTGACAAACTCGATACTCGCGGGTCCCGCCCTGAACGGGGCAGGGATTACCTGCTTAATTGGGTATTCGGGTCGGGGACGGGGCGGGTAACGGGTGCCCTGTCTCTCCCACCCCCTTTTATTTATTTATTTAGAATTTAATACATTAAATGGAAAATTCAAGAAATTTTATTAGTTAATAGAAAATGGCAACTACAATTATTTGCATCAATCTAATGAATGGGGGTAATAAAATAAATTATCAAAAAATAAACAAAAATAAAATTAAAAGGGGTAGTAAACGGGGTCAAGGCCCCGCCTTAAATGGGTAACGAGGAATTGCTTGGCGTAGCGTGGTAGGGCGGGGGAGGTTGCCCCGGCCCCACCCCATTGATATCCCTATATATTCTCACTTGATCACTTATGATGTTCAAATAGCATATTAAGACAAAATATGGCCCTGTTTGGTGGGGATTTTCAAAATTTTACAGTAAATCAATTCTCATTTTTAACCACACATTCTTCAATAAAATAATATTTTCCATCACATCAATAATTTTTTCTTCTTTTTCAACCACACATTTCCCATCATATCACTATTCAAAATCAATTTTTCCCCCAAAAATCCCTCCCAAACAAGCACTATATAACCAAATTTCAACATATTTACGTTGATGCTACAAAAGTATCCATCATAACATTTCAAAATTTATACATATACAATACAAGATTCCTAAAAATATAATACTATAGATTATAAGACCAAATCAACATCCCACAAAATAACCCTACAGGTTGTCATCCATGTACGTCAAACTTTAGAATCCCGTAAGAACTTCATAGCTATCCGTGTCTTCTATGAAATTCCATGCTCACCTACAATGCAAGAATTACCTAAGCTAATGCTTAATAAGTAAAAATCATGCATGCTATGAGTATGAGCTATACAAGTATATGACACCATGTCATTTCCTTAAAAACATTATATTAAAATGTATCATATTCAAATATTTGTCAAAGATAGCTTGAAGTAATTTCATTTGAAATTTTTTCCTTTCATTGGGCCCTCGACCCACGTACTACACATCGGACAGAGCTTTGCGCAATATCAATATCAATAATCAAATGGTCAATATGATATCGACACAGTCGAGTAGACCATCCTCTTGTGACTACTAGAGACACCTATCTACCTCTATGATCACCTAAAGTATTCCACCCGCGGTGCTAATAATCATAATATCACAAGCGTATAGTCGAATGGTCTATGCTTCCATGATCACCAAAGGCACATCCCCTTTCTACCCTTTCGATCACACAAAAAGTCTCACCAACGATGCCAAAACATATCACATAAGCATATTTCACAATCCTCGGTGCCTTATTAGTGGTCAATAAAAACATTTTATAATGTAAATTCATTTTTCCAGTTATGTCGTGCATGTTAAATATTTAACGATTGGCATATGTCATGCATGTACGTGAAAAATGCTCGTGAATGCACACTCAATCAATTTATTTCGAAGCCATATGCTCATTCATCATAACCGTCATATGATATACAATGAACTCCTACCAAGGTTATATAAATGTTACTACAATATTCTATAGAATTGCACAAATATTATGTTCTTGCATTATAGTTGTAAATGAATTTTTACTTACTTTTTTGCCTTTGTATGTGTGAGCTTTCTAAAGAGTATGATTGAAGTCTCTTTCCCACTTAAGTGCCTCAAACAACCTATAGTACTATCTAATATCAAATATGGTCCTCAATTTCATAAGATTAAGACACACAATCTTGCACTACAACCATGGATGCCAATATAATTTAGATAACATTAGAACTTCAAGTTACTAGTTGCATTCCAAAATAGCCCTATTACCCCCCTATTTTCCAACATCGTTGTATCTAAACATCATGTAATTGTATCATTATTGATCTAACATTTATCTAAATCAATTCTTCAAGCTTTAGAGGCGATTATTGAACTTGTAAAGGTTGAACCTACGAAAATTCTCAAATTGTACAGAATCTGTTTTTGAGTTTTAGTTGCTGCCCGATCTAGTTTCATTCATCTTTTCACACTCTTAGCAACCTTGAATCATTCCCAAACTTTTACCACACTTATATAGCATGTATATGATGGTATTCATGCCACATATTTACCAAAAGTATAGGATTTTCAGCCTCAAGTTCAGTCATTTTTACACAACACCAAATCAGGCAATCTCCCTAAGACTGTTTTCAGTTTCCATTGTATTAACACGCACCAATCAGATCTAAGCTATTAGAAATCATTTATATATTTTTAAAACTTACATAAAAACATTCATAATGATAGGTACAAGTTATACTCAAGGTTTTTATTATTCAAAATCAAAGGTTAATTCCTCAAAATCCAGCAACCATCAATTCTCTGTCCATGTTGAGTTCCTTCAAGTTCTTGTAATCAATTACCTTTATTTTTACCATCATAAAATCTGAAAAAATCCAGAGGTTCACGAGGTTATAAAACCCTAAAAAATAATAAAGACAAACCTCAAAATAGTGAACTAAGTCAGCTGCCCGAACTTCCAATTCCAGCTTTTTGTTTTCTATTTCTCTTTGGCTCTTTGGCTTTCTTTTTTACTTGGAATCAATTGAAGATAAGTTTAAGGAGTTAATATCTTATATAGGAGATATATGTGAAGTCTTTAAGGAGCTTGAGTCGTGCATAATGCTTAGGAATGAAGAAATTGGCTATAAAATGACAAGTAGCTCAAGCATGAGGTTTTTTTTTGTAGTAAACATATGATTTTACACCTACATTTGTAGGTATAAATCAAGTGTCATTGACCTATTTTATTGTGTCTACAACCTATTTTACTTACCCTAAGATCCAATTTTTTTATAAAGCTAACTCCTTAACCGTTCATTCAATTACGTACCCGATTAACACCCAATTCTCGACTGAGTTCAACAATTTGCACTTCAATATTCATAACATCACATCACATGTACCTGATATTTGATAGCCGAAGGATAAATAACCAATAGGTGGGTGAATTAATTTTTAAAAGATTTTTCAAAGAATTAATCTAAATTCAGCA